CACCAGACAGGCCACATTTATTCATCACGATATTTCAAATACCATTTAATAATTGAAAGTAAACACTATTAATAGTGTAATAGTAATCTTCAGTCTTAAGATCGCCTACATTAGCCCATCCTGATAACCATGAGTACATACTAGCTTAAAGGTGACCTACAAATATTTTCTTGCTATACAAATGTCTCACATGCCAGAAGCTTTTCAATGTGTATTTAAAACAAAACTAATTTTTTTTCCCAATGCAGGTAGCAGCACATTGAAGTCCTACAGCACCAGCTCTTCTGATCTTATTCCAGTACAAGAATGTGTATATATATATATACATGCACACTACGTAGAAATATTAAAACAGCTCTTGAAATGAATTAAAGTTTAGCTTTACCCATTAGAAATCATGCTGATGACTTCAGCACTTAATAAAACTCTTGTTTAAGAAGAAAAGAGAGCCTGTAATCATTTGGGGCCATTCAGCACCCCAAAAGGCCAGATCCAGTCTCAGTTTCCTCCGTTCAGTGTCTTGAGTTGTTTTAATTAAGTAAATTGTGTTTTCAAATCACTCTTTGGGAAAAAGTATAAGCAATGACAATACCAGCTCTTCGTCTTGTTCTCGGGTTTAAATGTGCTCTTCCCCTTCCTGAATCATACAGGAGAACAGATGCCAGCAGTGCAGCCCCCTTCCCAGCCCCCCCTCTACTGGGGCTGGTTCCCAGTGCCGGCAGTCGCAACCATCACCATTGTGTCACATTCACCTTCCATTGCTGACTCACATATACCTCATAATCCTGACTTCCATACTTGTGGGTCGTTTACATTGCAGTGTGATTCACAAGATGCCTTTTGTCATCTCCCCCCACCCTTCTTGTGCATCCTCTGCATCTTCTGTATCTCAACACAGGGCTGCAGGAGCCAACGCAGCACCTACAATCCAAACCGGATTTACATATCTCTCCACCTCAGCTGTTCTTCCTTAATAACTTAGCACAGCAGTTTTGGGCATGGCAGCAAAGAAAGAACAACACAAAAGTGTAGATGTTATAAAAGATGAAGTGTTAGCAGAAATTATTTCAGTTTATAAGATAGCTGAGGTTTCTGAAGGCACTCAGGCATCAAGATGTTTATGATTATCTAAGCTTAAACGGATAAATGTAGGTGTTGGCATTTATAATCTTTCACAGCAAAGTGATGATATTGTTTAATCAAAAGGTCAAAATGAATTAAAAGTTGTTCCATTTTCTTCTCTTTGCCCCTTTTTAATAATTCAGCGTAGAGCCCAGTAGGTAACAGATTGTAAAAGATGGATGGAAAACCAGATATTCATGTGGAATATATTCGTTAAAAGGCAGGTGAGAAATTAAGATTAAAAATACTCCTGTCTTCAGCAGAAACAAGACTAATCGTTTCATTTTTAACTTACCTTTTATTTATGAGACATCAGCTACAGACAGTAAAGGAAATTGCAGCATTCACTTAAAAGCAGCGTTAGCAAGTTCTGACAGCTTGTTAAAAGCCACGACTGAAGGTAGGGTGATGCACATTGGTCACCCGTGACAAGGACCTCATGGAGCTTGGCCCGGGCTTACCCTTGGTCATATCTCTGAGGTGGGTTGTGTGGCTCTCTGTGGGCCATTTCACATTAATGGTACATACTCCTTAAGCTGCCCAAGGGATTTAAATGCTGGCCACTCACTAAAAATAAGTGCCAGTAAGTCCTACAACTCTATGTCCTCCTGCAGTTCAAGTCTGACTTCACGTGTAACATGGATTTTCCAGCACTTACAGCCCAAATTCTTGCCAGATACTGGAAGTAAAGTACCCAAAGCATTGGAGTCCGTAGAAGATACAGCCCATAGAGGTGAAATCACAAGATCATATTCCATCCTGGGGATGCTATAGCATGAAACAAGGCTTTGAACGCTAAGTCTGAGAGACTTGGATTTCTAAGTGTAATTGCCATCCTTAAGAATAGCCCAGGATTTACATGCCATTAATATTCCTAAAATATCCTTTTCATATGCGGCACACTGTGGAAATATATACCTCTGGAAATTATCTGGACCAAGCTCCTGCTATTAGATTAGGTTATCCAGGTTCATGTAAAGCTGAGTCTTGAATACTTGGATTCGACCATGGAATGGTACAAGTAGCACTCTAAGCAGAGTCATCATCACTTTAGTGGAGTCACATGAAAAAATAGAAAAAAGACACTCCAAAGAGGCCATGACTCAACCAGCCCTATAGGAAACCTCAACCTGGCCCCAGTATCTGTTAAGCAGATAGGTATTTGGGTGCTCATTCCACTTCAGATCCTAACAAGGCAGCCTATACATCCTGGAAACAACATTTACAGATTCCATATAGAAAAGTCTAGCCTTGAAAGTAACTTTTCTTTTTACTTTTTTACCGTGGTGATGTTATAACCACTTGTGTTTCTGCTGGCAGGAAGCTATTGCCTACAGCTGCAAACTAATAGAAACTCAACTTTCTGGGTCATCAGAAATGGGACAGACAAAACACTCTCTGCGGTTCCTTTATCTGTAAGATAACTATCATAAACTATTAACAGCATTTCAGAAGTTGTTCACTGCCTCTTCTTCGCTAGTCCTTCTTTTTAAACATTTCATATCACAGACATTGAATTGCATAAAGATAGAACAAACCAAAGCTCAAGGTGAATGGATCTGAACGAAAAAATACCTGTAATAACTGGGAATCTGTAATGGTATAAAGGACTTTGCTTACAGGGTAGTTATTTTGTTGTGCTGGTAGAGCAGCATCTTGCAATACAGGTCTTGTAATTTTGAGCTGTATACACAGAAGTGCCATATCCAAAAGCAGGAAGGCAACAGTGTCCCATTATAGCTAGCTTTAGATATTTAAAACTAGTCCAAGAAAAAGCACGCAGGCTGCAGGATTGTACCAGATTTGCACCAGAATGGAGTATTAGACCTAAGAGATCACTTCTCTCCCTCACCTTGCCCATTTGTGGAGCTAAATGGAACTCCCTTTATCATTTTCTCCCAGGTTAAGTTCATACCAACCGCCTTTCATTTTTAAGAGCAGTATGAATGTCTCCTACATTTAACTAGGTTTCTTATGATTTGTCACATTTCATGGCTGACAGCTATGCAAAAGCCCATTTCTTTGGGGATCCTGGTGAGAAAGGCTGTTGTTTTGAAGCATTATTCTAGCTGTTTATACAAATGTCACACAGGAAAGTTGTAGTAAGCTGATAAATACCTTCTTATATGTTACAAAGGGTCTGATGGAGAGAAATATAGAGCTTTGCATTCTATATTATTGCTTACACAAAAGGTGGAAGCAGTTAAAAAGGTAACACTTCCCATGCTAACTTACACCTGTATTCTTGTGTACACAAAAGGTGGAAGTGATTTTTTCAAAACCCAATATTTCTCAGCTGGTTATCTCACTTATTTCCTCTTTTCAGTAAAATTGTGGGACCATGAGCACTGTCTTATTTCACTTTCTAATTACTTCGGGTAAAAGTGATTCTTTCATGGCCACGACTGTACACCAAGGGGAAGGCTCAATATTATTCCAATCCTCAGCCCTTAACTTCAGGAGGACGTCGTTACTTGAAATTACGATGGTAGGCAATGAAGTCCAAAGCTAAAATGCTTAATTTTGCTTGTGTCAGTCAGTGGAAAGTCCTCACCAACCTTTGCCCCTTTATATTTCTCCTCCCAACTCTAGCAGTGGTTGGCATCTTCTCTCTCCTGCTGTTCACTGTACCATCTCCCCTTCGACAGCAGAAAACCTGGATCACACACATTTTATCTCAGGCTTTTTCACCCTGCAGACCCATGCAGTTTTCATTTAAGGGACTGAAATTACTGACACTGCTGGTTTCTCAGTAGAAAATCCTGTCTCTACAGATAGTTTCTTAAAGAAGGCCTCAGAATAAAGCAGTGCCTTCTCACTGTCTGCACCTTGGTAACTGCAAGAGCAGTCCCATTGATCTCAAGCACAGAGTGCAGCATTAACAGCAAGGTACAAAGGGATGGTGCAGCCCAGGTTTTGTACCTTGTCCAGCCCGTAAGGCAGCACACAGCTTCTTAGCTTTCTCTTTTTCCAGCTGCACACCAGGAAGGCAAAGGCACAAATGAATCTCAGGAAGTAGCTTGTGTTCATATACTTACCCTTACATCAAAAAGGCCATATAAGATTCAGGGCAAGTACAATTAAGTGTAGCCAAGGTCGTGGGTTACATGGAGGTAACTTTAACTATAGTGCTCTTGGTAAAAACCCGACTCACTCATTGTCATTCTTCCCATCCACGCTCCTTTCCCGGAGAGTCAATAAACTCACCTGTGGTTATCCAAGAGCACTGTAAAATAGCTGCTATAGCCCAGTGCAGCAGAAGCTCTACCATTCTGGGCATGGAGCAATCCCCATGGTATCCTTCCCTTCCCCGAGAAGCAATGTTGCAAAGACAATTTTATGTTTGCAAAATGCTTGGAGATGCCCAAAACAAAGGTGTTAAAGATTTGCAACCCATTTACCTGGAGCCATTCTTTATAAAAGCCTGGCTTATTACTATAGCCTTCTAAATAAAAGTTGAAAACAAGATCATTTTTAATTGCAAGGAGCACAAAACCAAGCTCGGTGCAGCCATCTCCTTCTTAATCTCACACTTTGAAATTCAGCTCTTATACAAAGAAAAACCTAATTATTTTCAGGGGATAAGCACCTGCTTGTTGCAGGAAGAAAAGAATATTGTTATAAATGGTTAAAAATAGAGGTTTAATGCAGGAAACACAGGCAGAGTTTTCTCTATCACCTGACGAGCAGCATGCATCACATCACTAGCATGGCAAATATATGCCCTGGAACTGAAAACGTCTGGCTTGTGCTCTGACTCACTGTGCCTTTGCAGCAGCAGAGGATTACTGTTATCTGCTCACATAAAGCCATTGTGGTGGGTCTGTTCCAGCCTGAACCTCTGCTCCACCAGACTGAGGTTTATGGAAATTACTTACCTGCCTTATCACTTGAATTAGGAAGCTGGAGAGAAAATGTAGCGTGATAGCTGCCAGACTGCTTACCATCATCTTTCTTTGCTGTTACTACATGATTAGGTCCTCTGGGTGTATCCACAAATGCTGGAAGTTCAGAGACAAAGACACTTTGTAAAGGGTATTTACTACCCAAATAGCCTCCATTTGTTTTCTCTCTATTAATTACATTGTTTTCTGTTAAGTCTGCACTCGAGTTTGATTTGAGTGGAATCTTGTTTTCTCCTAAGATCTTTGTTTGAAATATCTCCTCAATTGGCTTTCCATTAGCTATGCCATCTACTCCATCTGCTGTTAATCTAGACAAACTGCAATTTATATTGAAGGATAAAGCTGATCTATGAATTTTTTGGCATTTAATTTGAGGTTGGTCAATGCACACATTGAGCGACTTGTCTAAATAATAGATGGTATTTGGACACCGCTGAGAAACCTGAAGGTGGACACACGAAATGAACGAAGGTGGTACTTTCTCTCTCCCATCACTGCTTTGAAGACCCACACAGTTCTCCTTGTTTCCAGGGTCAAAAAGCTGCTTTTGTGGCTCTTCACTGAATTGTGAGCAATATTCAGGTATCTTTAATGGAGAGACATGGTTTGTGTGTCCCTGCGGAGGCCAGCAACGGAGGGACCTTTCAGGGACTTTGCTTGAGGTGGGGGACATGGCGTTGGGCTCTTGTACTGCCCCAGATCCATGTGCTGGGTCGCTGAAGCCCACAGCAACACGCCTGGCTGTAATAGTTATGGAGGCAAACCCTCTGTGCTGGTCTTGACACTGGTTTTCCTCTGCAGTAGGAGAGTCCGATGAAGACGTGGTGTCATCCAAAGATGCTTGAATTTCTATTGTGCTGGGAAATACCATAAATGCTCTGTTAATGCTGACAGCACCATGGTTAACCAAAGCCTGCTTCACATGATAAGCGCTGGGCTGTGGGATCATGGACAGCATAGACAAAACGGGCCAATTTTCTTTTGATTTAGTCTCATCAATCATCTGTGAAGTGACTATTGGTGAAATAGTTGTATTTTGTGATGACAGAGATTCCTGCAAATGAAAAGATTCAAATTATCAACATAATCTACCATAATGTATGTAGCAGTTTCTCATCTACCATCTATCACATCAGACAGTTCTGGTCAAGATTCCTTGTTGAGTTTCTATTCCTACTAACTTTTTCTCATTTAAAAACACATGCTCTTGAAATCAGCTCTAGTTGTCTGGAAGAATTCAATGAAGAACTTATTGCTCTGGTGCGAAAACTACTAACATTAAAAATGTGAATTCTATCCTATTTTTAGTATTTAACCCATCATCGCAATTGGGATTAGTGGCTGCTGTATTTGTTTAAGAATGGATATCTCAAAGGCAATTGCCAACTTCAGGGTCTCAACTGCTCTTTCAGGATCATCTGCTGGAATTTAAAATGCACTTAAATATATTATGGATCATTAGCCTGAAGGTCCATGTGTGCCATCAGATGCTGCAGAGGACATATGGATACCAGGGACATGATTGCTTTACAACCTCACTAGCTGTAAGCATGGAGGAACTCCATGAGCTCTCCCCATGAGTGAAGTAATTATCTACAAGTGCTCTGCGACTATTTTAATTCATTAGTTCCCTCTTGCTTATGATTACTTGGTAGCACCTATCAATGACATAAACCCACACATGTCCAAGGTTGATTGACACTGGCCCGGATTCATTTTTCCAACCATGACAGTAAGCATTTATCTTGATAGAGAGCATGTTATTTCACTCGATGTGACAAAGGAGGTGCTCTTACATTAAAGCTATCAGACAAAAAGGAAACCTGAGTTTAAAATCTCCTGCTATTATTATCCACATGGCTGGTCACGAAAGTCACATGCAATAAAGCATCTGCCCTAATCTCACTGCTGCTGTAAATTGGCTGATTTGATTGCTCCTGCCCTGTGTTCCTAGATCTCTTGATCCTAATAGAAAAAAACCCATTGAATTGGCATGCAAAATCTGAGGATTAGCTTCATAATGAAAGTTCATCCAAGTTCATTCGGGGTTTAGGTGCTATTTGCTAGCTGCACTCCTCCTGTTTGTTATGAATTCATCTCGGTCATGCCTGGGTGTCTATCTTCTGATAATCAACGCCGGCACTTGACAAGTGTTTCACAAAACATAATATTCTTCTTACTCAAGGAAGACTGTGAGTGACAGAGCTGTGACCTCCCAGGTGCCAGAGGTGGGACACTGCACCAAAGCCCATGGGGAAAACCGTTCCTGTGCTTCTGTCCTCCGTGCATGGAATCAGCACAGAAAATGGGCTGTAACTTGGGAAGGCTGATTTGGGAACCTAAATAGCTAGAAGTAGATCAAGAGTTTATTAATGAGATGAAATGTCAAGTAAATTTTATCAACTGTTTAAACCAGCTGCCTGTGCTTTTGACAATTCAATAATTTCACAGCCCCAGGGAAAGCATTTTCTTCCTTTGTTTCTTTCCTGGTTTGTAACAACATTTGCCTCATATTTTTCAGCACTTCATTTAGTTCTACCTACACGTTTAAGACCTTTGCATGCCTTCCAAAACTCTCAACTTCCCTGAGCTTTCTACAGGGCACCAAAGAAGAATGTTCCTTGAAACACTTTCTTTTGGATGCATCTCTCATGCTTCAGTAGTTAATTTGACATTTATTTATTTTGTTAAGGGCTGCACAGATGGAGACATCCTGCAAGAGTCCAAAGGCATGTAAAAAATGCTCTTGATTAGCTTCAAACTAGTGCACCAGTATTTAATATTATTTACTTTTCCTTTTTCTGCTTTAGTATATGTATTATTTACTCCTTCCAATCTTTGGCAAAGAAATGGATCTTTAAGTTTTGACCATCTAATCCTGTACTTGTTGGGAGCTTTCAAGCTTCACTGCATCTTGTGTAAAAAATAGGCACTTACACAAAGTAATTGCGGTGAACTGAAAACCTCAGGCTTTATCTTGAGAACATCCGAGACAGAGTGTACTGATATTGGGGATGCTGCTTGATTTATTCTCCTGGGGTGTTTTTAACAACTTTTCTCCAATGAAGAACCCCTATGCAATTTCTTTCACCCCTCACCAAGAGTAAACAGAATCGTGACATTTAGCCCTCATTTTATTTAGCTTTTCTGCTGCCTAAGCTAAGCCTGGCTAAACAAACCCATGTCCAAACACACTGCTCAGCAATCAGTGATTGGTTTTGAAACCTGAATGCATTCTGCTGACTGCTATCTAAACATAATTTATTTATTTTACCTTGGTAGAGCTTGATTTGCTCTCCGCAGCACTCGCCCACCGAAGGCCTGTGCATGTCCTCTGACCATCAGTGCTCCATTGCTTTTGTGTCCCTCCTGGGGAAAGAGGTGCAGAGAAAATAAGATATTTCCAGTGTCCTGGAGGAGATGAGATAGAAAATGTGGGTTTAAGTTGAGAGCAAGCGGACTGTAAATGATCTGATTGCCCTGGGATCCGGCTATTGGAGGGATCCTATTTCTCCTTCATCCCAGGAGAGGCACCTGAAACACCCTTGGGATGCTGCTGCAGAAACGTGCTCATGGACAATATCACAATGTGTTCAGGGTTGATCCAAAGCTTGGATATCTCTGCTTTTGATTTCCACAGATTCAGGCATGAGCGTGGAAGAATTGGGGAAGATGAGAAACGGGGATTTCAACAAACATCACTTTTCTGTAGTCTGCAGGACTGGGAGTACAGATGAGCACATTAATGGGCTGGATGCTACGAGTTTGATTTCATTGCAGCTAAGTCACCTTCACATTTAAAGAACTACAGTAATTTTAAATCATAGTCACAAATTCTATTGCATGGTAACTTTTCTAGTTCAGTGATACCCGCTACATTAGTACATTGTACGGGGGTTGGAGCAACCTTGTCCTGTGGAAGGTGTCCCTGCCCATGGCTTTAAGATCCTTTTGAACCCAAACCGTTCTGTGATTCTATGATCAGTCTCTGATTTTGTCATTTGTGTTCTGTGAACTCTAGCTTGTCTGCATTTTTTTTACTCAGAGCTGATTTCCACCTAACACAGAGTTTGGACTATTGCAACGAAGCATTACAACAGTTTTGTCAGAAATTATGCTACTTTCTGTTTTGTACTAAATATCCCAAATTAATTTTCACAAATTCTCTATTTGGACTGAAATCTCTTGATTTTACTCGCTGTTGGTTTTTAGCAACAAGTCACATCACTGGTAAGACCTTCTGTATTTCTTTTCTTTCACTCAGGCAGCCTGCCATAGAAGTTAATCTTTTACTAAGCAGAATTTCACTTTACATGTAACATTATATTAACAAAGGAATATAAATCAGCTCCACTTTAAGAAGTGTTCATTAAAGCATATCAACCATAGCAGGCTTCATCTCCTTGGGTGCATCTAAGGATCAGAAGTGGAGAAGGAGGAAGGTATCAGGTCTATTCTCCATGGAGAGCTCTCCTTGAGTCCCACCACAGAACAGCGATCACAAAACACTAAGAAGATGTTTGATGAACATTCTGCTTTAATAAAGCATACTTTATTTATACACAACGTATACTTTAGTGGCACAGCTCCAAGTTGTCAATGCCACTGTGTAGATATTCATAGCTGGTACGAAGAAAAAAGAGGTTTGCTTTTGTCACTGAGCAACAGAAAAATCCTGAGGAACAGAGAAAACAGCCGGACTTCTTAGCCACAGCATGGGGAAAAAGGAGACTCCAGAAAATAGCTGGAGCAGAGGCCCCACTAAACACTTTTATTGGCAAAGAAATGAACTGTGATTGCAATCAGTGAAAATTCAATGAACCTGATCTGGCACTGGATTTTGGTAACTGCAGGCACAAAACATGGGCGAGATGCCCTTAGAGCATGCTCTTCACCATGCTGTGGTATGCAGCAAGAAGGAGCTTTCTGTGCTTTCAGTGAAGGACACAATCCACCTGCACCCACCAGCAGCAGAATGGGGCCAACTGCTGTGTAAGTGTTATGGGAAGGCAATTTTCAGTGTATCACTACTCTGGTGAATTACACGTGAATACCTTCACGATTAAGAACTGCTACATATGCTGTCTTACTTACTTTTTGAAATCAGCTCCATAGGGAATAACAATGCAGAGAAGGACAAAGAAGAAATTCTTGGACAGGGTTAAGGCAAGACCTAAGAAAATCCTAAAGTTTGGTAAAAAAAGGTATGTAATTTAAGTGACAACTTCCACTAAGTTATCAGTATTTTCCTTGAATGCTTTACAGTGAGAAAGCCACAGTTGTTCCAGATCGAGCTGGAAAGCTGCAACAGGAGAACATTGACTTGTGGATGTCAACCAGCGCACAAGGAAATCCAAAAGGCTGGCCAGAGATGAATCAAATCCAGACAGGCATGTTTTGCCAGATGGCCTTTCATGAATTTCATTCGATGTGTTTTCAGCACAAGAGAAAGACTGAGTGCTACAGGGTCAAACAAGAGCAAGTTGTCAAAGTCCACACCACACATTATATATAACATGTAAACTGTTGCTATCAAAGTAACCTCCTGTGATTAGCAATAATCTGTAGGTAAGACCTTCCAATTTCCCATAGATCCCTTGGAATAACGGATTGGTTAATTCTTGCTTGCACAGCTTTAACAAGTAGCTGTTTCTGAAGCAGGAGAGATAGGAAGAAGTGAGGTGGGAAGAAGAGGAGGAAATATTTTTCTTCTTTGCTAAATCATCCAGAGTGGAGGTTTGTGTTGCCTTTTGTACCATATCCTGTGTAATGGCATTCTCGTATTACTACACGAATCCTACTGCTGGAAAACACTCAAACTTTTGGCAAGTCATTTAATCTAGTTGCTGAGACAGATTAAATGGCATTGGTGGCAAAAGCTCCAGTATTTTTCCTGGTATAAATCTATTCTTGGAAGCTTCGCATTTGTTAATTCATGTCAACAGAACAACCAACAGACCTTCAAAAAGACCTTGAACCTGTGTTTGAAATGAAGATAATTCAAGGAGCATAAAGATTTAGCTGAGATGTATCACACAAAGAGTTTTCATACAAGTTCTCGCTCCTGACAAAACACATCACACTAAGTCCTGTTACACAACAAAATGCAAAGTTCAGTTTTACCCCGGTGCAAAAGCATGAAAGAAATGGCATTTCAAGTACTTTCCATCTCTGTGGGGAGTATGAGAAACTTACTTCTATCCAAGCTGAAATCCCGAGGACTTGTTTAACCTCCCCTGACCTTCCCTTCCCACCGTGACCCACCTATCCTTCTTACAAACAGGAGATGGGATGAGGAATAGAGGAGCAATTGCTGGCATATGAACTTTGTCCTATTACATCTCCACTCTTTAGTTTTTCCCTCACAAATACTGTTTGTTGAACCAAATGATACGCTCCTTGGCAAAGCATCTGGACATCCGGCTACAGACCAGGGTTTTCCTAATTACAGAGTGCAGCTGGAATCGATTCTCCCAGTCTCGAGTGCCTGGATGTCTGCCTCGGGCCAACTGGCAGCTGGCTCACATAATGATTCAGAAAAGATGTACTTGTAAATCAGCTTGCTAAAACACAGATAGATTGCAAAGGTGAGGCTGTTGGTGAAAAATAGCGTATAACAACTATTTGGCATGCAGAGGACAGACCAGTTTGTAGCCAGCTGAGGTTTTGTGCAGAACTTGAGACACATTAAAACGGTCCATGGATAATGTTATTTTCATAGAATCCCAGCCTGGTTTGTGTTGGAAGGGACCTTAAAGCTCATCCAGCTCCAACCCCTGCCACGGGCAGGGACACCTTCCACTAGAGCAGGTTGCTCCAAGCCCCTGTGTCCAACCTGGCCTTGAACACTGCCAGGGATGGGGCAGCCACAGCTTCTCTGGGCACCCTGTGCCAGCACTTCACCAGCCACACAGAGAAGAGCTTCCTTATATTTAACCTAAACTTCCCCTGTTTCAGTTTGAACCCATTGCCCCTCGTCCTGTCCCTATAGTCCCTGATGAAGGTCCCTCTTCAGCATCCTCGTAACCCCCTTCACACACTGGAAGCTGCTCTGGGGTCTCCACGCAGCTTCTCTTCTCCAGGCTCAACAGCCCCCATGTTCTCAGCCTGTCTCCATACAGGAGGTGCTCCAGCCCCTCATGATCATCCTTGTGGCCTCCTCTGGACTTGCTCCAACAGCTTCATGTCCTCCTTATGTTGAGAACTGAATGCAGTACTCCAAGTGAGGTCTCACAAGGTCAGAGTAGTTTCAGGTCTTTGCTGGACACATGCAGACTGCCTCCCTGAGGCAGGTTATTTGGTGACACCCGCAGTGACAGAGCAGAGCTGGAATGACTTTAGACTATTGGCCCTGGCCTTTTCTCCACTTATTGTCATGAAAGTTGCATGTTCACTTGCTGGCAAATTTCAAATACATGTCAAAACTTCTGACCAACTCCACCCTGCTCCAAACGTACAATGATCAGCCACCAGCATCACCTCAAAATGAACTCCTCTGGAGGCTCCAGGAACTTCCCTCACACCACCACCAAACAGCATCGCAGAACAAATACACTGGTATGAAACTCCTCCTCTTTACCAAAAATACTGCCTTTTCTGTTAATCCTTAGGCCACCATCTAAGAGACTTGTAAGGGGATCTGGGTTCCCTCCCTGTCCGTGGCAGTCAGGGTCCCTACAGCCCCTAGGTCAGCACTGTTCATTACCCAAAGACACTCAAATTCCCAACTTAGGTCCTGGGAGCTAAAAGCCATCAATGGCTTGGCTGCAGAGTCAGGTATCAGAGCAGTCACTCAGCCAATACAACGTCTTTGGAATCAGTGAAAGCTTATTTTTAAGTCCTTTTCTTCTTCTAGGCATTATTCCTACTGTAAGTTATCAGCAGGCAGACCATGTCATCAAAACCAACTTGGGGGAATTAATTTATACTTTATGCTGTTTAAAACATTAGTTTTGCTTAAATTGTCTTGTGACTTTTTAAGTTCAAATACCTGAGGAAGCCTTCAGGAAAAAAGCATCATCATTAAAGATTCGCCACAGTCCCTTTCAGTAAGGGCTGGGAGAGATCACAATTCACATCCTCAGATCTGAAATGAGTCATCCAGAAAAGCCATCCGGACATTACAGACACACCTAAGATGAAAGCCAAGTCGGAACGAAGAGCAGAACCAAATCCACATCTTCTGGTGTTCATCATGTGTCATAAAGAAAGAATATCATAAAATTGCAGAGACTATTGTCATCTAAAGTAAAACTGAACAACGGAGCTGAAGTTCACATGCGTGGTACTAAAAGCAGAGTTAGACAAATGCTGAAGATCCCACCTTATACTGAAGTTCCTTCTGATACTAAATTGATTTAAAGGGAATC